TCCAGTGCACTCACATCAGAATAACTTATAGATTTGTTGTTAGAATAATCGATTAATAGAAAAAATAATCGTTAGATTAATCGATTAGAAAATAATCGTTTGGTACAGCAATACTTCAATCATCAATTTACAAAAATAAAAAATAATCCTAGATATTTTTTGCATTTACTTAACTTTGTGCATTCGTACGTTACATTGTCCAAGTAACAAAGAAATTATGACCACTTTGGGGAAGAAAGAAATAAGCTTTTGTCAGTTTGTTTTTAGTGTGCATTCAACAGGCATTTTAGCCTAATATTTTCTAAAGTTTCAAGGGTTCATTACGTACATTACTTTCATAAGAGCAGTGTTTCTTACCAGTACATCAGTTGGCAGTGCAGGGATGCCTATATACACTTAAAAAGAAAAATGTGTATTTCTCACTCTGATTACGCAGACTATCTTGAGTTGCAAGACAGTGCATTTATTGTTACAGCTCCACCCAAAAAGAAGTTGTGGAACTGCAGTGTTAATGGAGTAATGTCCAGAACAACCAGTGGCACAATAACATAAATATGATGCAATAGAACTGAGTCAGTTTCCTTTTAACATATAAGGAAATAAAACTTCTGTAATAGCATTAAAAGCAGATGAATAAATACATGCTCATCTGATGGTTTGATGTTTGTTGATAAAGGGAAATCTGTCAAAGGTCCTGCAAACTAATAATGTGTTTCTTGCTCAAGTGTTGAATTATGATGCTCCAGTTGCACCTCCGCACTCTCTACAACTCTCACTCTCATCTAAATATTTATAAGCTAAACTGTTCAGCTTGTTTATTACTGTTTAATTCAGTCGCTCAAATGTTTGACTTCTGTACATGACTCAGCACTTATTTTTAATGATTATTATTTTCTTTAGTATTATTTAAATATTGCACATGCATGTAGCAGACAAAACTGTATAAAAAGATTGGAAAAGCTTCTATAGATATTCAGTTCGACATGCTAAGGTAGATTAACCCCGACTGTTTTAGGAATATCAGAGGTCTTTCCTCTCCTTTAACAAGTGTGAAGAAGTGGCTGTTACAGTGACAGGCTGGGCTGTTGTGAGCTGCTGCCAGGTGCGAATATGTCGAGAATGTAAAGCAGAATGGAGCTGATAAAGGGCATACCAGTCTTATTCGGATGAATAAATGTTATCAGCTCTGTTCTCAGTAGTGAATGCTGTGAATGTGGCAATGCACCTTCAGAATATTTTCTCATAGTGCAGTGAGCTGGATCATTTTGTGGTCTCTAAGACGCCATTGAAGTGCAATAACAAAGAACATCTCATATTCGGTGGAGGAGTCAAGAGAATAAGCAAATGACAAAGGTCCAAAATATAAAGCACTTGAGTGGATGTGCTGGGGACATGGTGTGAGTCTTAAAAGTCAGAGTTGTGCGTGTAGTGAAGGAGCTGGTCCCTGGCCCAGTGCACTTAAGGCAAGAGGATTAGACTCCAGAGTATTATTAGAGCTACTGATTATCCCCTTACCTGATCCGCCTAATTCTAGCTTTGGCCCTGTATATTTAGCAGAAAATTGGAAAAATGTTTGGAATGGGCTGCAGAAAGTGAATTGGCTGTGCTGTGCTTCGGCGCTCTGTCAACTCCGACATTGACACTTTTGGAGCTCTCTGCTGAACTCATTAGGTCCTGGCTTTTTGTCGCCACCTCCCACACTGTGTGGTTGATGTGATTAATGCACCGCTAACCACTGAGGCCAGAAACAAGGACTTGTTTTAGTGCCAGGGAACAGCAAACAAGAGAAAATTGTCTTTGCAAATAACAGAGGAGGATACAGAGTCCTCTCTGACCAGTCCCTTGACTCCTGGATGTAAGCATGTGGGCCAATATCTCTTCAAGAAAGTTCAGCAAAAAGGTTTCCAATCCATTTGTCCTCAAGTATATAGCTGTAACACCTTGGTTTTCATGTAATTACACACCCGTTGCCTCTGACCTTGTGTTCAGAAATTGGCTTTAAGTCCTACTTTCCAGACCGAGAGTAGGGAATCAAATGTAACCATGAGCCATTAAATCCTGCCAACTGATCTTAGCAGCATGGAAGCCCTGGTAGAAAAGGCAAGGGTTGTTTTTGTTGATTTATTATCCTTACTTTGTTTTCTTGCAGATTTTAGGTTTTTGTTTTTATTTTGCCWAGTGCTTTGTCCTACTTGTGTCATTTCTGCTGTTCTGTATTGTCCAACATTGTTGTTTTTATCTGTAAACCAATCCAAACATGTTCATCGAATTGGCAATAAACTTCTGACCTAAGACCCTAAGACATATATAGGGTGTTAACTTGAGTTTAACAAGATACTAATCTTACAGGATGAAAAGAGAGAATATGTGGGTTCACAAGACAAGACTAGATAATATCCATATCAATGATATTAACACTCTATGGGATTTATTTTTCACTAAATTATGTTTAACTATTTTTCACTAAATTATGTTTAACAATTTTTTTTATTCATGAACATCATTATGACACTGTGGACTATACAAGATATCAATTAAATATATTTTTATTAAAGAAAGCAAGCCTAACATGTTGAAAAACATTTAAATAGTTACAACTGTATTGTAAGAAAAATACATATTCACTAGAATGAAGTCAATTTTAAAATCACCATTGTTAAATTAAATGACTTGTAGAAGGAATCAAACCATACAACACCAGAATTCTGGAACTGAGTGAGGTTTAATGTCACTGGAGCTGACAGGAAACCACACTGGTGAAAAACCAGGAAGTTAATCAATTTATACAGGGTCTTCAATGCCTGTGTTCGCCCCCTACTGACCTACGGCTGAATCACAGGCATTCAGACAAAATTCTCACCTACTGTTCTCATAACGGTTGATTATGTGTTGTTATATAATTCGGACATGTACTGAACCTATTTCAATCAAAACATAATAGATTAAACATTATCAACATTATAAAAAGGAAAACATAAAAATATAGTGTTGTGCTTTTAACATCAGTACTAACCTCTAATAACTATAAATTTCTTCACTATGACTTAGTTTAAATGTTTTTGGTATACTTCTACTTCCAATAGTTTGCTGGAACTTTGTCCCATTCCTTCTGACAGATGGTGTTACTGAATCAGGTTGGTAGTTCACATACACCTTTCCAGCTCTGCCCATAAACTTTCTATGAGATTGAGGACAGTGTTTTGTGATGGCCACTCCAAAATATTGACTTTGTTGTCTTCAAGCCACTTTCTAAGTAATTTGCCAGTATGTGTCATATTCATTAAGAAGATACATTTAAGAAGACCTAAGCCTTAACTTTTTGCCTGATGTCTTGACATGTTGCTTCAATATTTCCGCATGACTCATGATACAATTTATTTTGTGAAGTGCACCAGTCCCTCCTTTAGCGAAACACCCCACAACATGATGCTGCCTCCCCTGTACTCCACAGTTGGGATGGTGTTCTCAGGGTTGCAAGTTTCCCCCTTTTTTCTCCAAATGATGGCCCCTGATAATGATAGACATTTAGATTCAAACATATTTAGTTTAATTACACCTAAAAATATATCTCCCCCCCAAAAAATTAAGGTTTGTGTCCTAGTGTGCATTAGCAAATTGTAATCTAACTTATTTATTGAGAGTAATGTCTTTTTCCATTCTGAGTAGCCTTCCAGCTCATGTCAGTAAAGGACTCATTTCACTGTGGATAATGACACTCCCTTACCAGGCTTTTGTTTTGGGGTAGATCTGCACATTTTGCACTAAAACCTGTTAATCTTTGGCAGATATTTACATGGTGTTTATTTGAACAGATGAACATGGCACATTCAACCTTCTAGAAATTGAACCCATTAATGAACCAGAGTTGTGGAGATTGACAGTTCTCTCTTCCTGATAGCTTGGCTGATATCTTTTAATTTTCCCATGATGTCACACAACAACACAACGTGTCAGAGGTGTGCCTTAAAATGCCTCTACAGGTGTGCCTCCAATTAACTTAAATGTTGGCAACTAATCAAGCAAAAGCTTCTAAAGCCAATGGATCATCTTTTGGGCTTTCCAAAATATTGAAAGGCATAGTAATATTAACGTCTGTAAACTTGTAACTGAAAAAAGTAATACAAGAAAATGTCTCTCTCATTATTAGACATTCAGCAGTTAGAAATAATTAAAGTTAGAAAGTTTTTGTCTGATTTATTGTCAGACAGTAAATAAATAAAAATAACAACTTGTGTTTTTTACAGTTTATGTAAACATTTAGTTTCATCTGTGTCTGTGGACAGGTTGTACTCATAACTCACCTTCAGTTTAACCTAGCTCATTGGAATGATAAATGTTGCGTCCACACCATGGCATCTATTGTCACTTTCACTGGCATGGAGACAATCTTGTGTTTACTAGTTGCTGCACTGCCCCAAGAAGAAACTGTTTTTTTACAACTACTTTCAGAGGTGGTTTTTTTTAAGCTGAACGTAGACAGTACAATAACATGCACACCACAAATTCTAACCTATAATTACTTCTTTTCTTTTCAGTGTCCAGGGACATGAAACTCAATCCACAGCAAGCTCCATTGTATGTAAGTATTACTGATCACAATAGGACCTGTCTGTGAGTACAAGCTATTTTTTTCCAGTGTGTTCAGTTGTGTTTTTTTTCCCACAACACTCAACACCATTTGTCTACATTCACAAGGGTTTTTACTGTTTATGGTTGTGTAGCTCCAGAGCAGAGTGTATGAATGCTTGACAGTTGAACACGTTACATMATCACAACATAAACAAACCTTAACTTGATATGTTATTATGTTCATTGAGATGACCTCATATAATTCCTGAAACATCCCAGAAGGAACTGGGCAGGTATGCAGGATTAAATAGTAGAGATTCACTTGCTTTTCCAATGTTTAACATCTGGCAACATTTAAGTGTATATATGTTAGTGCCCTTTTTCGGTTTGAGGTGAGGTTCTTTCTCAAGTGGAGGAGTTCAAGTATTTCAAAGTTATGTTCACAGTTGAGGGAAGAATGGGGCGCGAGATTGAGAGACAAAATGGTGCAGACTCGGTATCATTCTGTTTTTCGTCAGAGGTGGGCAGTAAATTTACTGTACTTAAAGGGCCAATATTATGTGTTTCTCAGGCATATATTTAAATACTACACATTAATAATCCATGTCACCTTTAGCTGCTATTAAAATTCAGTTTTTATGTTTAAATAGAAAATAAACTTATGTTCTCATCACTTCCTCTTCTAAATTGCCTTGAAATTAGCCTGTCTTTTTAAGAACCTTCTCCTGCTTCTGTCCCATCCCGTCCCCGTCACCCGTCGCGCGCAGGGTTGGTTTGTTTCACCCGTGCGCTATRATGCAGTTTACTTGGCATCTGAAAATACATTTCGTCATTTCTTAAGTAGCATTTAACTCTTTGTTGAGAATGCCTTGACACTATGGCACATGGAAACCACAGCTCGATAATAAGTTGAGTCTAATTTAATTGTCTTTTTTGGTGGATTTTTTTAAATTGTGGATTTACATGAAACTTTGTCTACCGGTACCACTGTTTATGTTCTTCACGTAAATATTTCCATCCATCCATCCATCCATCCATCCATCCATCCATCCATCCATCCATCCATCCATCCATCCATCCATCCATCCATCCATCCATC